TTAGCCTGTCCCCTGTGTCATCTTCCTCAAATTCAGAAGAAAAGAAAGCCAGAGACAAAGGAAGCAATCCAGAGACAAAGAAATCTATTTCTTGTCCTCCCAGAATACCTGCAGGAAAAAAAAGTTCTCCCCTTGTTTCTCATTGTTTAAATTCTCTCTCTGAATTCGTGGATAATATGTCCTTCTTAGATGCCCTTTTAACTGATGTAAGGGAACAAAAGGAATACGGTAGAAATGACTTTAACTGGACAAACGGAAAGGTTAAAAGTGGACTTTGTGATGAGTTTAGTCTTGAGAGTAATGATGGATGGACTTCTCAAAGCTCTGGAGAATTAAAGGCAGCTGCAGAAGCTCTCAGCTTTACTAAATGTTCTTCTACTATTTCAAAAGCATTGGAAACCTTGAATTCTTGCAAGAAATTGGGAAAAGATCCAACCAACGATCTTACTTTTTATGTTTCACAAAAGCGCAATAATGTATACTTTAGTCAGTCAGCAGCTAACTTAGAGTAAGTCTTACTTCCTTTACTTTTTATTCTTTAGTAATAGATGATAAAGGGGAAATCATTATTTTTTTCTTAATTTAAAAATGCTGTACTATTGATTATGGTAAGCCGTTATCATTAATAATGTAGCTTCTAATGAGACAGTTAAGGAGACCAGGTTGATTGTTGGGAAGAGAAATAATGAGTGATTGGGGTGGATCTGGGTAACGCTTGAGTGACGCAGGAAGAAATTTTGTCTTGCTGTGATAGATAGTAGATAGTTACTGAGATTTTTCTATATACTGAGTATGGGAGTGATTGATGTGTTGACAGGAAATTAATCTGGAAATGTCATCTGGTCTAGGCCAGAGGCAAGGAAACTAACCTGGTTGTGCTTGGGATTACTGCATTTGTATTGGGCATTAAAAATTAAAAGCAATGCATTACTTTTACAGCAATGCTTGGAAGAGGATAGCAGTCATTAAAAGTGTATTTTCTAGTCGATCTCTTCTGTATGTGGGTAATAGACAAGCTAGTATAATTGAATACCTGCCAACCCTTCGAAACATCTGTAAGACTGAGAAGCTAAAAGAACAAGGAAAAAGTAAAAGAAGGTAAAGGCTCTATTAAAAACAACATTTTAGATAGCTTTTTTTTTAACATTAATACATATTTTCTTAAGATGAAAATATTAATATTAAATTGTATTTTTCTTTGTAATTTTGACAGATTCCTGCACTATTTTGAAGGAATTCATCTTGACATTCCAAAAGAGACTGTGAATACTTTGGCAGCTGACTTCCCTTAATGTTCTATACTAACATTGCTTTGTATAGATTATTATGTGGTTCTTAAGATACATTTTTATATTATGTGGATCTTCATGGAAAAGTTTATTTCTCAATGTACATTTTAAACAGTTTGTATATTTTTTATTGGTGTGTAAATATTTAAAATATTTGAGTTACAGATTGTATATATGATTGTGGTAATATTTTTTCTGAATTTTTTGTATTATATGACAGCTTTGTTGGAGTATTTTTTGTATGTGGTTCATTAAGATGAACTCTGTCAAGTGTTTATATTATATTATATATTAGTTTAATATTCAGATACATTATCTTGGCTGGTCCAATGGTAGTGGGTTATCAGAACTTACTAACATTAGTGTCACTTAAGTTGTTATACAACTCCCACTGCTAAATTTGACTGACTTTTAAAAAAAAAAAAAGAAGGTAAAACAAAAACATTATCTGGTGAATTATAATTTTAACACAGAAGTTAAGGATCCTAATATTGTACAGTGGGTTTGTTTTTTGTTTTTCGGTTTTTTTGAGAAGAACTCTTGCTCTCACCCAGGCTGGAGTGCAGTGGCCTGATAGCGGCTCACTGCAACCTCCACCTCCTGGATTCAAGTGATTCTCCTGCCTCAGCCTCCTGAGTAGCTGGGTTTACAGGCACACACCACCATGTCCAGCTAATTTTTGTATTTTTTTAGTAGAGATAGGGTTTCACTATGTTGGCCAGGCTGGTCCTGAACTCCTGACCTCAAGTGATCAATCTGCCTCAGCCTCCTAAAGTGCTGGGATTACAGACATGAGCCACTGTGCCCAGCCTATATTGTACCATTTTGAGCAGTATAGATGCATGCCTGTTTATAAATGTGTATGAAGATGTTTTTACCTCTTACTTGTTCAGTTTACCTTTTCTTGTATTAATTAGTATACTGATCTAATTAAAAGTTAAAGCTAAAGGCTTTATAAAATATTTTTAAAAGTTCAGATGTAACCATCTTGGTAAATATATACATTGTATAGGTTTGAATACAGGATGTAACTTAAAAGATTTCATCCCTATACAGAAGGGAGAATTAAGATCTTCTAAAGTTTTTTTGTTTTTTGAGATGGAGCCCAGGCTAAAGTGCAATGGTGCAATCTTGGCTCACTGCAACCTCCACCTCCTGGGTTTAAGCAATTCTCCTGCCTCAGCCTCCTGAGTAGCTGTGATTACAGGCAGGTAGGCGCCACGATGCCTGGCTAATTTTTGTATTTTTAGGGGAGAGAGGGTTTCTCCATGTTGGTCAGGCTGGTCTTAACTCCCAACATCAGGTGATCCACCTGCCTCAGCCTCCCAAAGTGCTGGGATTACAGGCGTGAGCCACTGTGCCCAGCCTGAAGTATTTTTTAAAATACTTTTAAAATACAGATCTATTTTTTTCCCTCTTAAAAAAAAATAATGGGAGTATTTTCCTCCCTATAAGGATACATTTAGTATTTTATTTATTTTTAGGTTTATAATAATTCAGGGAAAAAAATCTTGTATCTTTTTTTTTTTTTTTTTTTTAAGAGGTCTCACTCTTGTTGCCCAGGCTGGAGTACAGTGGCACAGTCATAGTTCACCATAGCTTCAAACTTCTGAGCTCAAGTGATCCTCCTTCCTTGGCCTCCCTAAGCATTGGGATTATAGGTGTGAGCCACTGCACCCAGCCTTTTCATTCTTAATGATGGTAAATTCCTGTAAGATTTAGATTCACTTTTGTGATAATGCCATGTTTGTTATGAACAACTAGGTAGTTTGAGAAACTATCAAAATAGAAAACTGGCAAAGGAGATGGTTTGGATGGAAAGAAAATGATTTGCTTTTTGGATATGCATAGTTTGAGGTATCTGCATTTCCAAAGTGGAGATGTTTAGGTACACAATGACATATGTTAATGTAGAGAGACTTTATTTGTGCATGGCAACAGGTCTAGAGTGTATACCAACTCTAGGGAGTTGGAGGTGCCAGAGAAGGGAGGACTTCCACTTCTTGCTTTATGTTTCAGATTATTTGAAATATTTTTGAACAAGTATATTTCACTTTTGGATTATAGAAAATGTTCATGTTATAGAAAATATTTAATACTTTTTTTTTTTTGATAAGAGATGAAGAGATGGGGCCTTGCTATGTTGCCCAGGCTGACTTCAAACTCCTGGGCTCAAGTGGTCCTCCCCACTCAGCCTCCCAAGTAGCTGGCACTACAGGCAGGTACCACTGAGATTTAATAATTTGACACCAAAGAGATTTACAGTGGCTCACACCTGTAATCCCAGCACTTTGGGAGACCCAGGCGGATGGATCACAAGGTCAAGAGATAGAGACCATCCTGGCCAACATGGTAAAACCCCGTCTCTACTAAAAATACAAAAATTAGCTGGGTGTGGTGGTACATACTTGTAGTCCCAACAACTTGGGAGGCTGAGGCAGGAGAATCATTTGAACCTGGGAGGCGGAGGTTGCAGTGAGTCTAGTTGTGCCACTACACTCCAGCCTGGTGACACAGCGAGACTCCATCTCAAAAAAAGAGAGACTCAAGAGGCTTAGGTTCATAAAGAAGATACATTGAGGGCCTCAACTAAGGTAGACAGTGGTAAAATGGACATCAATAGATGGTCTGTCAAGTTAAAATATTACAAAGTTAAAAAATGAGCCTGCCGGGCGTGTGGCTGATGCCTGTAATCCCGGCACTTTGGGAGGCCAAGGCAGAAGGATTGTGAAGTCAGGAGTTTGAGACTAGCCTAGCCACTATGGTGAAACCCCATCTCTACTAAAAATAGAAAAATCAGCCAGGTGTGGTGGCATACACCTGTAGTCCCAGCTACTCAGGAAGCTGAGGCAGAATAGCTTGAACCTGGTAGGCGGAGGTTGCAGTGAGCCGAGATGGCATCACTGCACTTCAGCCTGGATAACAGAGTGAGACTAGGTCTCAAAAAAAAGAGAAAAGAGCCTATTAGACAAAACTTGTTTGTTTTTGGCTAATAGATTTGAGCTGATGAAAGTCACCTTTTGGGGCCGGGTATGGTGGCTCACACCAGTAATCCTGGTACTTTCGAGGCTGAGGCAGGAGGATTGCTTAAGGCCAGGAATTTGAGCCCAGCCTGGCAACAACGTGAGACCTTCATCTCTACAAAAAATGAATTAGCTGGGTATGGTGACATGTGCCTGTATTTCTAGCTATTCAAGAGATAGAGGCAGGAAGATTGCTTGAGCCCAGGAGGTGCTGCAGTGAACTGTGATTGTTATCATTGCACTCTAGCTTGGGTGAGAGTGAGACCCTGTCTGAAAAAAAGAAAATCAGCTTTTGGAGGCAGTGTGGCAACCCACATTCTACTTAGAGAATAAGAGAGGAGGATTCTATAAGCTGTGTTATCAGTTATCTTTATTTTCATAATAAGCACCACCTAGGAAAATCATTATTCTCTATTTTAACAATATGATCATGCAAATGCTTAGTATAGATAGTAGTTGCCTTTAGAGGCAGATATGTTTGTTTCTTGTTTTGTCTATTTGGCATCTTACTGTTTCTTTAATGAAAATTAAAAAAAATATTATGTGGTCTTGCTATGTTGCCCAGGCTGCTCTCGAGCTCCTGGGCACAAGTGATCTTGCCTCAGCCTCCCAGAGTGCTGGGATTATAGGCATAAGCCACTGCGCCCAGCCCCACCTTAATTTTTAACACATAAACCTGAAAGGCACAGAATCTCATAAAATGTTTATTGATTTGGTCTTGGCTTATTGTGTAGACCATTTAGTAGCCAAAAATCAGAATTTAAACATCTAAAATACACTCAAAATATGTTCTTTTCCAGTAACATGTATGTTCAAAACAGTTGGTTTTACATTAGAGCTAATAAGTATAAATTAATATGACTTTAGCACATTAACCTCAGAATTCTAAGGCTCAGAGTCAAACACTGCTAATTCATAGAAGGCAACAGCTTGTAATAATGAATCATAAAGCTCTTCTACTCTTCGTGGTTCACTAGATAAAAACATCTGTCTGTAGTGGACTATTTTATCTGATGGGAAGAACACCCGAGGATCCGCCTTCAGTACAGAATCAGAGAGGAACTGCTTCACTAGTTCTTTTCCACTAGTCCTGAAGTCACCAATCATCAGTTCAAAATGCTTCCCCACTGCATTTCGATGCATGCTCAGCACCTGATGCTGCCCATCCTGGGCAAAAGTTTTATTTAATAAGGCATACAGCATGGCTTCCACGATTTGAAAATGTAACAGTATAGGAAACATAGATGAGTTTTGAATGGAAAGTGCTCTTTTTTCCAGAACATAGAAATCTGCTTTAGGCATCTTTGAAATGATTGAAGAAATCTTTAAAAAAAGAAAAAAAAAAAAAAAAAAAGACAAAATAAAGGAGCAGAAATAATTCATTACATTTTATGTTTGGACCTCTCTCTGTCCCGCTTAGTTAACTTATACTATATTGCTACTGACAATTTTGAAATGATTGAAAAGGCATTTATGAGCAGTCTGGTTCTGTTCATGGTTCTGTCAGAACAATAGCTAAGCTAAACTGTTTAGTCCTCCTAAGTACCAGTTTCTTGATCTGTACAATGGACTTCATAATTTCTAAAATCTGTATTGGCTTTAAGATTAGACAACTTACAATTGTTTTATTAACCTACAAAAATTTTCTGGGATAGAGCATAGGGTTAGAATAACTAGGCAGGAATCAATCACCTCTGCAACTGACTAGTCATATCCGATGCTTGACTAAACCACAGATTTTATACATATAATCCAGGTAATCATTCCTGCCCATTTCACAGGGTTTTGAAAACTCAAATGAGACAATGTCATGGCATTTTGAGAAATAATCTTTATAAATAAAAGACAGTGATAATGTTCTATAACATTTAGAATGAATACCATTGATTTTCTCAGTGTCTGCCTTTGATACATAAGACATTTCTTTCTCTTTTTTTTTTTTTGAGACAGTCTCACTCTTTAACCAGGCATGAGGCTGGAGTGCAGTGGCGTGATCTCAGCTCACTGCAACCTCCGCCTCCTGGCTTCAAGCATGAGGCATTTCTTGAGCTAACTAAAGCCTGAATTTTTAAAAATCAAAGGTGTAGAAAACAATAGGAACAGAAGAAAACCCATCTTTACGTTTTATTACATTCCTTTTGGGACCAGAAGATTAAACTACACAAGGAGGTAGGAATCCGGAGGTGCAACTGCCTTACCTCTTCTAAATAGACAGATGATGAGTATGTAGTTTCCTTCATTGATCTCCAACGATCACTTTGCTGCCAGTCCAGCACGGTCAATTTGCGATCAAGGTGAGCCCAGGCAATTCTTCGAGTACCAGAAACAATAGATACGATGCTATTAGCTGCCTAAAAGAAAAGACTGGTTTAATTAGAATTGTGAAGATTTTACAGATAAAAAACTTAATCTACAAATTCAGAACGACTAGTTTTTGTAATACATATTTATAGTCTATTAATTGAGAATTATTAAAGAAATGCAGGAGTAATTATTATTATTATTCTGTTTGTTCAAGATGGCGTCTCACTCTGTCACCCAGGCTGGAGTGCAATGGCGCAATCTCGGCTCACTGCAATATCCACTTCCCACATTCAAATGATCCTTCTGCCTGAGCCTCCGGAGTAGCTGGGATTACAAGCACTCGCCACCACGTCCAGCTAATATTTGTATATTTAGTAGAGACGGGGTTTCACCATGTTGGCAGTGTGGTCTCGAACTTCTGACCTCAAGTGATCCACCTGCCTCGGCCTCCCATAGTGGTGGGATTTCAGGCATGAGCCATTAAGGAGTAATTATTATTAAAAGGTAACCAGCAGCAGTCAGTTTATAGATAAAGAACCTATACTCATTCTCAGCACCTAGCCCAAAGTGGGCATTCAAATACTCAAGTGTAGCCAGGGTTTGTACTAGATACAAGGAAACAACAAACATAAGTGTACATTTTAAGAAATGCCACCATAAAACTCGTAGAGAGGAGAAGTAGGGAAGGTTTACTGGAGGACTAGGAGAATCAGACGGTAAACGGGAAGTCATTTTACCCAGATGTCTGGAAAGATAGGCTGCTTGACATCTCACACTCCGGCAGTGGAATAAAGACTGGGAAAAGGGCAGAGGACTAGGCAGGTGTCTGGAAAGGTAAGTAACTTGCTTTATCCTGAGGGCTACAGGTGTGACGAAAAAAACCCAGAATTTTAAGGAATAACGTAAGATTAACATTTCAGAAAAATCACTGATGGTGTAAAAGGTGGGCTGGAGGGAACCAGACTAACGGTAGGGATCTGTGCTAGGTACCTGTTAAACATGAGAAAGTATTAAGAATTGAAGACAATGACAGAAGGGAAAGAAACATGGTGGGCCGGGCGCGGTGGCTCAAGCCTGTAATCCCAGCACTTTGGGAGGCCGAGGCGGGTGGACCACAAGGTCAAGAGATCGAGACCATCTTGGTCAACAAGGTGAAACCCCGTCTCTACTAAAAATACAAAAAATTAGCTGGGCATGGTGGCTCGTGCCTGTAATCCCAGCTACTCAGGAGGCTGAGACAGGAGAATTGCCTGAACCTAGGAGGTGGAGGTTGCGGTGAGCCGAGATCGCGCCATTGCACTCCAGCCTGGGTAACAAGAGCGAAACTCCGTCTCAAAAAAAAAAAAAAAAAAAAGGAAAAAAAGAAAAAAGAAAAAAAAAAAAAAAACATGGTGGTAGCAGAATTAATACATAGGTTGAAAGAGGAGTCTAGGATAATTCGTTTTGTATCAGTGACTGAATGGCATCATTAATCATGATGGGCCGGGCACGGTGGCTCAAGCCTGTAATCCCAGCACTTTGGGAGGCCGAGGCGGGTGGATCACGAGGTCAAGAGATCGAGACCATCCTGATCAACATGGTGAAACCTCGTCTCTACCCAAAATACAAAAAATCAGCTGGGCATGGTGGCGCGTGCCTGTAATCCCAGCTACTCAGGAGGCTGAGGCAGGATAATTGCCTGAACCCAGGAGGCGGAGGTTGCGATGAGCCGAGATCGCGCCATTGCACTCCAGCCTGGGTAACAAGAGCGAAACTCCATCTCAAAAAAAAAAAAAAAAAAAAAAAAAATCATGATGAAGATAGGAGTCACGTGACCTGGAGAAGGCAGGAAGAAATGTTTTGTTTGTTTTGTTTTTGAGACGGAGTTTCGCTCTTGTTACCCAGGCTGGAGTGCAATGGCGCGGTCTCGGCTCACCTCAACCTCCGCCTCCTGGGTTCAGGCAATTCTCCTGCCTCAGCCTCCTGAGTAGCTGGGATTACAGGCACGTGCCGCCATGCCCAGCTGATTTTTTGTATTTTTAGTCGAGACGGGGTTTCACGATGTTGACCAGGTTGGTCTCCATCTCTTGACCTCGTGATCCACCCGCCTCGGCCTCCCAAAGTGCTGGGATTGTTTTGGTTTGTTTTTAATGTATTAAGTTTGGGTTGCCTGTAGGGCTTCAAAAGGGAGACATATAATAAGTAGTTGAATACATAGATTTTGCTCCCTATCAGGTCTGGGCTGACAATGGAGCACAATGCTGTATCACCTTTCTCCAACCTGGCTCACTTAAATATATTTACAAACTACTATGTTCTATAGATACTGAGGCAAATAGACAGGAATAATTAGTTCCATACCCATCTCCCTTTCGTTGCTAAGGACTGGATAAATATCTTATGACAAAATAGTTTAGATGCCCAAAATACCGACTTCCTTTTGCTTCTTTTCTTTAGCTCCGTGACTCTCAAGCTTTAGTGTGCATAAGCATTACTGAACCAGACTACACACAGTACTTCATGGGCAACCAATTTTTTTGTTGTTGTTGTTGTTCCATATTAGCTATACTGCATTAGCAACCAATTTTTTCTTAAAGGATTTTACTGCATGACTTATGTCTCCATACAAACTGACTTTAGAATCTAGTCCCCTAAATAAGATGCAACTCCACTATAATCTGGGTATAAACAGTTTTGGCCATGAATTTGGATGAGAATCCTCCCTGAAAAATTTGGTTGAAATATGTTCCAGATCAATTGCAGCAGTTCTACCCGGAGTCCATGAGTGGGCTTGAATCTGCCAGTCCTCTGAAACTATGCAGCATTCTGTGTATATGTGCTATATCTTTTTCTTTTTTTCTTTTTTTTTTGAGACAGAGTCTCACTCTGTTACCCAGGCTGGAGTGCTGTGGCACGATCTCAGCTCACTGCAAGCTCCGTCTCCTGGGTTCAAGCTATTCTCCTGTCTCAGCCTCCTGAGTAGCTGAGACTACAGGTGCACGCTACCACGCCCAGCTAATTTTTGTATTTTTAGTAGAGATGGGTTTCACCATGTTGGCCAGGATGGTCTAAATCTTTTGACCTCGTGATCTGCCTGCCTTGGCCTCCCAAAGTGCTAGGGTTACAGGCGTGAGCCCAGCTCTAGAATGTTTTTCTGTTTTAATCTTAACTATAGACGTGATTCAAGATAGAATCCTTTTTAAAGGAGTAAAGGAACATAAAATAATTTTAAATCCTGCCAGAAAGACTGGTATAATGTTCTAAAGTCACTCCCTGGCCATAACCCATCTTGGCTCCTTAATTTCTCATTAATCCTAACATCACCTTTAGACACAACCTAGTATCTCTATGACACTCCTCTTAAGCCTTGCATAGACCTACTTCTCAACATCAACTGTTCTTTCTACCTAGAATGACCTCCTCTTCCAGCCAAAGGATCTCTCCTTTAAGATCCAAATTCGGTTCTTCTAGTAAACTTTCCACAACAGTCACAGCCCACTGTTTTCTCTCCTCTCAACTGCCAATTCACTATCTGTACATCTCCCTATTTGGTAGTAATCATATACTTGCCAACTAAACCTGAAGAACCTTCCCAATGCCCAGAAGAGTGCTTTCCAGAGTAGGTTCTCAAATATTAGGCAGTACAGCAGACATGAAGAATATACCTTAAGTCTTTCTCTTTCTATGTCTGGTTTGAGGAGTTTTCTCAAGAACCGATTTTCTGGTAACTTTCTTTTATCCCCTCCAGTCTTTGAACAAAGTATGGAGTTACATACTTGAACTATATTTTTATACTGAAACAAGGGCACATTCATTAAACTCTCCAAATTCTGAAATGGCCCAAAGTTTTGTCTGTGCTTTATGATATTGATGGACCTTCTTCCACGAAGCAATCTGAAAGCTTCAAGTTCTTCAGTAGATGCTGTATTCAACACATGCAAGATGGAAGCCTGCTGTTCTGAAGAGAAGTGCTTGTCAACTGCATTTTCAGGCTCTTCTGCATTTTCATCACAAAAAGTAACATCAGAAATCATTTTCTTAGGTGCAGTGGATTTTTTCCGACAGCAGGAATTATGTAAGGCCTGGGACAGGGATGACCTCGATGGGGCCAGAAAGCATCTCCACCTCCCTAAAAGGAAAATTTAGTAAAATATAAGATGGGATGTCCTACTTCCTTTAGTGTTAGCTGCAAACTTGACTAGATGCTTTGCAAAGTCATAAATACTTTCCTGGAATTTAAGAACTACTAGAGGACAATATTAAATTGTCCTGGAGAATAATCTTAAAGAGGATTCATTTTTAAACTATTTTATATAGAGTTTTAAATAGGGCTTTTGTTTTCAAGTCAGGAGAAATGTCTTCCGATTTTTATGGATCAGACCTAAGTTTTTTACTGCCTAGAAAATTGTTATTTTGCACTCATCAGGAAGCAAGTAGTTGAAATATTTGTTTTTGAGACGGAGTCTTGCTCTGTTGCCCAGGCTGGAGTGCAGTGGCACGATCTTGGCTCACTATAACCTCTGCCTCCCGAGTTCAAGCAATTCTCCTGCCTCAGCCTCCCAAGCAGATGGGACTACAGGCATGTGCCACCACATCCAGCTAATTTTTTGTATTTTTAGTAGAAACAGGGTTTCACCATATTGGCCAGGCTGGTCTTGAACTCCTGATCTCATGATATACCCGCCTTGGCCTTCCAAAGTGCTGGGATTACAGGAAAGAGCCATCTCACCGAAATAATTATTTCAACTGCTTAACGTTTTTGATATTTTTAATGTAGAGCGATCTTTTGGTAAGTAATATTCCCCGTTAAGGTTTGTCTTCACTTCCATTTTCGCTAGTATCTCATCTGGTGGAACGAAATAAAATTAAATTTTATACGTTTTTAATAAATGTTTCAGCTAAGTGGTAGACTTAAAGGCAGTTTTATATTCTTCCGTACACTTCAAGATTTCTACCATGACGTTTTTGCAAGCATAAGAAACACCATACAGGCCCCGCGCAGTGGCTCACGCCTGTAATCCCAGCACTTTGGGAGGCCGAGGTGGGCGGATGACCTGAGGTCAGGAGTTCGAGACCAGCCTGGCCAACATGGTGAAACCCCCGTCTCTATTTTAAAAACAAAACAAAACAAAAACAAACAAACAAAAAAACACCATACAATGAATAACTCTGTAAAACTGGTGGGAAGTCACTCTAACATCACAGCCACAGGAAAGTAATGCGGCCAGAGATAAGCAAGTAGCTGTGAGAATCTGAACCATCCGCCCACTTCGAGGAGCCACCTGCGGACCCCAAGGTCAGGGAAGCACAAATGTTCCGAAAACCGCCCCCTCAGCTAGGCTGGGGCTCCAGGAGAGGGACCTGAACATGGGACACGAGGAAGGAAACACTCTAGGACAAGAGGGACATGAAGGAAACACTCCAGATTCCTCCAGAATACCTCAAGTGTTATTTCATTAGCCTCTAGCGTCAGAGGCTAATGACAGACACGAAATTAACCCAGTGTTCCAAGAACCCTACCTCCCTCCAAGAAGAGGCTAGGGACTCCCATCTCCAAAAGGAATCGGTAGCGCCGGTCTTCCTCCATTGACTTCCGGTTCCTGCGTGCTGCGCCCAAAAGCGCCCGGCCTGCACTCGGCGGAAAAGTTCGTGTCGAAGCGGCCTTCTGGGGCAAGGCCCGAGGTGTGTCCGGCTGAGCAGTAGGTCGGCCGCGTCCGGGCTGTGGGCTTCCGGCGGGCCCCTGCCGAGGCCCTGTCACCGGATCTGGAGACCCTGCCTGGCCCGCAGACTTCTTCCACTGCACTGGGGAAACGTTCGATTCCTGAAAGCCACTGGGCCGAATCTGCAGGATGGCAATTCAGAGGCTAGTTTTAGTCTGTAGTGGGCACGGTCCCTTTTCGTCGTTCTTCATAGAGACTCCCTATGTTTCTCCAAGACACTTAGATTGAGGACGTCCTATTGGAGCCTAGCCTGGGGCGCCGGGAGCGGCATCCGGTGGGGACAGCGTTGACAAGATACTCAAATAACCGTTTCAGCAGATAGACTGGAATAACGGTGAGAGATGCGAAGTGTTTCAGGAGCTCAGCTGGTGAACAAGGCGGGCAAGCGATTAGGAAAGGGCGAGGGAGGAGGAGAGGGCTTTGGCGCTGGAGCGGTATTCCACCGAGAAGGGATAAAGGGAGATGAATCTGGCGCCAAATTTAGTTGATCCTTGAATGCTGGGTGTGGCTGTTGAATAGCTCCACCAGGTAGGAAGCCCGAAGTCCCTCAGGTATATAATTTGCAGAGTCAGACTGGAGACGTGTTTCTAGAAAATTGGCCATATAGTGTATAGCGAACGTGAGGCTGGATTGGAGGTGATGAACCTGGGAGCAAAGAGAAGTCGCGAAGCTAGTGTATTTTGCCCAGGCTGGAGTGCAGTGGTGCGATCTCGGCTCATTGCAACCTCGGCCTCCCGATTTCAAGCGAATCTCCTGCCTCAGCCGCCTGAGTAGCTGGGATTACAGGTGCGCGCCACCACGCCCGGCTAATTTTTATATTTTTAGTAGAGACGGGGTTTCACCATGTTGGTCAGACTGGTCTCGAACTCCTGACCTCAGGTGATCCGCCCGCCTCGGCCTCCCAAAGTCCTGGTATTACAGGCGTGAGCCACCACGCCCGGCCAACCATAAGGAATTGAAGTTGGGAGATGTAAGGAGAGTGGAAAGAAAAGGATTCTTTCTGGAAGATGGGGAGCCAGTTAAGGAGGGAGGGAAAGGTGATGAGTTTATGTTTTTGAGGCAGCAATGGGTTGATTGTTCGTGTCTGGAGGGCAATGGAGATGTAGGGGGATCGTAAGTATTAATAAGTTCTGGTCGGGAGCTTTGGCTCCTGCCTGTAATCCCAGCACTTTGGGAGGCCAAGACGGGCGGATAGCTTGAGCTTACGAGTTCCAGACCACCCTAGGCAACATGGCTAAAAAATTAGCCGGGTGTAGTGTTGCACGCCTGTCGTCCCAGCTACTCAGGAGGCTGAGGTGGGAGAATCACCTGAGTCCAGGAGGTAGAGGTTGCAGTGAGTGGAGATCATGCCACTGTACTCCAGCCTGGGAGACAGAGCTAGATCTTGTCTCAAAAAAAAAAAAAAAAAAAAAAAAAAAAAAAAAAATTATATATATATATAGTCTTCATAGGAAGTCTAGGAACCTTGGCAGTTTCTGGGGAACTTAGGAATCTAACAAGAAATAACATCAACTTTTTGTGCAAGATCCTCCAAACCAAGAGGAAGTAATTTCCTCAACTGTAGGGCTTATTCAACTTAATGAGATGTTATGATTGTATGGCATCCCTTAAAAAACATTTGTTAGCCGGGTGCAGTGGCTCACGCCTGTAATCCCTGCACTTTGGGAGGCCAAGGCGGGTGGATCACGAGGTCAAGAGATCGAGACCATCCTGGTCAACACGGTGAAACCTCGTCTCTACTAAAAATACAAAAAATTAGCTGGGCATAGTGGTGTGTGCCTGTAATCCCAGCTACTCAGGAGGCTGAGGCAGGAGAATTGCCTGAACCCAGGAGGCGGAGGTTGTGGTGAGCCGAGATCGCGCCATTGCACTCCAGCCTGGGTAACAAGAGCGAAACTCCATCTCAAAAAAAAAAAAAAAAAAAAATTTGTTGAAGTCCTAACCCCCAGTACCTTATTCTTTCCATATAAGGTCATTATAGATGTAACTAATTAAAATGAGGTCACACTGAACTGAGGCAGAGACTAATTCAGTATGACTGTTGTTCTTATGAGAAGACGGAAGCAGGGGTTGGAATGATGCATCTGCAAGCCAAGGAAGGCCAAGGGTTGCCAGCAGTCATGAGAAGCTAGGAGAGAGGTGTGGACTAAGGTCCCCCCAGGGCCTGTGAAGGAACCAACCCAGATGACACTTTGATTTTGGGCTTCCAGCCTCCTGAACTGGAGAGAGTAAATGTCTGTTGTTTTAAGCCACCCAGTTTGTGGTCATTTGTTACAGCAGCCCCAAGAAACTAATACATGAGGCCATAAGGAGTCCTGCTTTCAGAGACGGTCTGGTTTGCTAGCAAGACACAGTTTATCACTTATGAACTGCATGACCAGAGGCAGTTTCTCATCCTCTCTGGACCTCACCTTCCTCATTTGTAAAACAGAGTTAATGGTACCCACCTCATAGGGCTACTTGGAGAATTAATGAGAAACTGGATGTGAAGAACCCAGCACAAGGTAAGAGTTCAATAAATGTGGTTTTCCCTAGTAAAGCATCATCTCTTACTGAGAAATAATTATGAATGACCTATAAGGGAATCACCCTCCTTCCTGAAAGCATTTATTCAGAAATATGCTCTAACCAGAGCTAGAAATACAAAAGAAAGTGACAACTACTGCCTGATTTACTGTAAAACCAAATTGATGCCTTCAAAATGTAAGTCACCATCTTCCCCCAGAAACTAGCTCCTCGCTTCCCTGTTTTTGTCACCCAGATTCAGGTGTCTCTGGCTCCTCCTACTCCTTCTCCTTCCATCATTATATATAGCCTGTCATCTAGTTTCTGTGTTTTTAAAACTGTTTTGACCGTGATCCAGGATACATGTGTGAAACAAAAATTTCATTTAAAAAAAAAAAAAAAAAGGCCACTGGGCGCGGTGGCTCAAGCCTGTAATCCCCGCACTTTGGGAGGCCAAGGCGGGTGGATCATGAGGTCAAGAGATCGAGACCATCCTGGTCTACATGCTGAAACCCCGTCTCTACTAAAAATACAAAAAATCAGCTGGGCATGGTGGCGCGTGCCTGTAATCCCAGCTACTCAGGAGGCTGAGGCAGGAGAATTGCCTGAACCCAGGAGGCGGAGGTTGCGGTGAGCCGAGATCGTGCCATTGCACTCCAGCCTGGGTAACAAGAGCAAAACTCTGTCTCAAAAAAAAAAAAAAAAAAAAAAAAAGGCCAGGCATGGTGGCTCAACACCTGTAATACCAGCACTTCGGGAGGGCAAGGCAGGCAGATTGCTTGAGCCCAGAAGTTCATTGACCATCCTGGGCACTATGGCAAGACCCGGTCTTTACCAAAAATACCAAAAAAATTAGCTGGGCATGGTGGTATGCAGCTGTAGTTCCAGCTACTTGGGAGGCTGAGGTGGGAGAAGCCCTTGAGCCCAGGAGGTGGAGGTTATAGTAAGCAGATATCACACCACTGCACTCCGGCCTGGGTTGTGGAGTGAGACCCTGTCTCAACAAAACCCAAAAACAACCTTTGTATTTTTGCATGTGATACGCTCTGATATTTTCTATTTCCTTCTTCTTTTTTTTTTTTTTTCAAGTTAAGAGTGCAAAAGGTTTATTGGAAAAAACAAAAACAAAAATCTATTTTTAAGCCTGCGGGACATTAGGGGGGGATGTCCAGTAAATATGCACATCTGAAGCTAAGGAGGAGCACTGAGGTTGGACATAGGTTTGGAGGCTGTCAGCATGTAGAGATGGTACTTTACCCATGAGAACAGATGCAATGAGCCAGGGAGAAGGGGTAGGTATGAGAAAAGCACAGTGAGACAAGGAGAGGACCCCTTGGAAGCACCAGCATTAGATGTGGTTAGAGGATTCAGATTCCCAAGAAGATTGAGAAGCAATGTTCAGACTTAAAAGGAGACAGGAGGCTGGGTGCTGTGGCTTACAACTGTAATCCCAGCACTTTGGGAGGCCAAGGCAGGCAGATCACCTGAGGTCAGGAGTTCGAGACCAGCCTGGCCAACATGGTGAAAACCCGACTCTATTAAGAATACAAAAAATTAGCTAGGTGTGGTGGTGGGTGCCTGTCATTGCAGCTACTTGGGAGGCTGGGGCAGGAGAATCACTTGAACCTGGGAGGCAGAGGTTGCAGTAAGCCGAGACTGTGCCACTGCACTCCAGCCAAGAGCAAGACTCCGTCTCAAACAAAACAAAACAAAACAAAACACACCACATTGTGATACTTCTACACACTCATGAGAATAGCTACTGGAAATCTCATACATTGCTGATGGAAGCGTGAGTTGGTAGAATCACTTTAAAAAACTGTTTGGCAATACTACTAAAGCTGAAGATTTGTACCTCCTATGGCCCTGTAATCCACCCCCTGGGTATATATCCAACAGAGTGCAAGCAGATGTGCACTAAAGGACCTGCAATTAGTGGAGCTATATGTATAATATTGCCAGTATTCACCAGTTTTCTGTTTGCAAAAATGGTGATTTCATGTGGTTAAACCTGATTACAAGAATGTTCACAGCAGCTCTATTTGTATTAGCCAAAACCTGGAATATCTCAATGGCAGATTATTGTGTATTTATTGAATAAATGTTTCACCCAGTAACGTGGATAAATCTCACAAACATAATGTTGAGTGAAATAAGCCACATCACTATAATATATATTTATTTATTTTTGGGACAGAGTCTTGCTCTGTCACTCTGGCTGGAGTCCAGTGGTCTGATCTCGGCTCACTACAACCTCCATCTCCCGAGTTCAAGTGATTCTTCTGCCTCAGCCTCCCGAGTAGCCGGCACTACAGGCACATGCCACCATACCCGGCTAATTTTTGTATATTTAGTAGAGACAGGGTTTCACTATACTGGCCAGGCTGGTTTTGAACTCCTGACCTCGTGATCTGCCTGCCTCGGCCTCCCAAGTGCTGGGATTACAGGTGTGAACCACCGTGCCCGGACATATTTATTTATTTGTAGCTATATATAAAGTACAAAAACAGGCTGAGTGCATTGGCTCATACTTGTAACCCTAGCACTTTGGGAGGCCAAGGCAGGTGGATTGCCTGAACTCAGGAGTTCAAGACCAGCCTGGGCAACATGGTGAAACCTGGACTCTACTAAAAATACAAAAATTAGCCAAGTGTGTTGGCGCCAGCCTTGCAGTCCCAGCTACTTGGGAGGCTGAGGCACAAGAATTGCTTGAACTCAGGAGGTGGAGGTTGCAGTGCCCTGAGATAGAGATTGTGCCACTGCACTCCAGCCTGGACAACAAAGTGAGACTCTGTCTCTGGAAACAAAACAAAACAAAACAGACTAATCTGTGATGATAAACATGAGATTACCTTTGGGGCTAGTCTCTGAAGAGAAAATGGAAATGTTTTGGGATGCTAGTTATCCTTTTTTAAAAGCTCTGTATAATAGTTGAACATGTTGTGTGCATTTTGTAAAATTCATTAAGCTGCAGGCTTATGATTTGTGTACTTTTCTGTATTTGTGATACTTCAGTAAAAGATTACTTAAAAGTTTAATTCTTGAATGAGCATGGTGGCTCACACCTGTAATCCTAGCCCTTTGGGAGGCTTGAGGTGGGAAAAATTGCTTGAGACCAGGAGTTTGAGACTAGCCTGAACAACATAGGAAGACACTTTCTACAGAAAAATTTTAAAATAGCCAGGTGTGGTAACACATGCCACACCTACTTGGGAGACCTACTTGGGAGACTAAGGTGAGAGGATCACTTAAGCCCAGGATCTGAGATTATAGTGGGCCGTGAACATGCCACTGCACTCCAGCCTGGGCGATAGAGTGAGACCCTGTCTCCAAAATAAAAAATAAAAGTTGGCTGGGGCTGGTGTGGTGGGTCATGCCTGTAATCCCAGCACTTTGGGAGGCTGAGGTGGGTGGATCACTTGAGGCCGGGGTTTGAGACCAAGCTGGCAAACATGGCAAAACACTGTCTCTACTAAAAACACAAAACTTACTCAGGCTTAGTGGTGCTCGCCTGTAGTCCCAGCTACTCAGGAGGCTGAGGTGGGAGGATCGCTTGAGCCTGGGAGATGGAGGCTGCAGTGAGCCGAGATTGCACCACTGCCTTCCAGCCTGGGTGATGGAGCAAGACCCTATATCAAAAAAATAAAAATAAAATAAGATAAAAAACACAAAAGTTGAAGTCTTCAAATTATTTTGAATTAGATATGCATCATATAATTTTGAATGTTTATTTCGTGACATAGTCTATAGTCCTCAAAGTCATTCATCACCTTCAATACAGACTCCTGAGAAAAGGACTGCTGATTCTTGACTAGATCATTTAGGGTAGGGAGCACATTATATATTTCTCTGACTGCTCCACCCCCAACTCTCAGGGAAAGATAATTGTCCTACCAATCTTCATCTGGGAAAAGTTTTGGATTTTTTTTCTGCTTTTATGTTACATTTTATTATTTTTTTTTCAGTATTATACATAACTAAAATGACTAGGCAAATGATCAAAATAAAATGCAGCACTCACAATTTGAGACCCAGAATCAGAAAACTTGGCTCATGCTTCAATGTTGTTACATATTTCCTATGCATTTCAGTTTCTCTCTCTGTCTCTCTATCTCTCTCTCTCTGTCTCTCTCTTTCTCTTTCTTTTTTCTTGAGACAGAGTCCAGCTGCTCTCTCTTTCTTTTTTCTTGAGACGGAGTCCAGCTGCTCTCTCTTTCTCTTTCTTTTTTCTTGAGACAGAGTCCAACTGTGTTGCCCAGGCTGGAGTGCTGTGGCGTGATCTTGGCTCACTGCAACCTCTGCTTCCTGGGTTCAAGCGATTCTTGTGCCTCAGCCTCCTGAGTAGCTGGGATTACAGGCACATGCCACCATGCTTGGCTAATTTTTGTATTTTTAGTAGAGACAGGGTCGCACAGCTAACTTTTCTGTTTTTAGTAGATACAGGGTCTCACAATGTTGGCCAGGTTAGTCTCGAACTCCTGACTCCAGGTGATTTGCCTGCCTTGGCCTCCCAAAGTGCTGGGATTATAGGCGTGAGCCACTGCACCAGTCAAAAGTAAGACTTGAATTTAGGCATGGAGGTAGGAGTTTGTTCTACTGACCAATGGAGGCTGGGCTGGAGGATGGTGTAGAGGAGAGAGCTGGGGTAGGAGAGGGACAGGATGAGCGAGATACAATGGCATGGAATTGGATAGCTCTGTGCTCAAAGGATGTGGACAGAGCACACACCAAGCACATTACTGCCCCTGAGCCTTTGCCCTGGTTATTCCCTTCCCCTAGGACACTCCTCTCTCAGATCGCTGCTGGTTAGCTTGACCCCTATCTGCAGATCTTTGCTCAAATGTTAACCTCCTCAGAGAGGACTTCCTTGACCTGTCTATTGAAATAGCAATTTTCATTCTTCTCTATCCCCTCACTCTTCTTTTTTTGAGACAGAGTTTTGCTCTTGTTGCCCAGGCTGGAGTGCAGTGATGTGATCTCTGCTCACTGCAACCTGTGA